CCCTCGCCAGCTCCTGTGGTCTCAGTGCAGCATCAGCTCCTGCTGTTAAACCTTAGGGGCCACTTGCTGTCCTGTGACAAGTTTACAGAGAAGGGTTGGGGATTTGGAATATTAATTTAAGTCTGGGTGGATTGTGTCAGTTTAGACAAAGCCCTTTAGCTTTTGCCTGTTGATGGAAGTAAATAATACAGAAATCACAGCAATTTTACCAAATTATTTTGTTGCAGGTTTTGGCTGGGCATCTGCATCTGGGAGCAGAGTGGGACTATGATGGGATACTGGGAAGGGGATGAGTTCCATAGTGGAAATGCAGCTGAGTAAAAGCAGCTGGAATAGAGCACAGGAAACATGGACTGAGAAGGAGTCCAGAAGCTAAAAGAAGAAACAACAGTAGAAATCATTGATGAGAAGGAAAAGGGAGCTGACATGGATTAAAACCAGGACACTGTTGAACCTACTGGCAGCAGAGCAGAGGAGGAGTGAGACTAAAATCAGAACAGCTCACCAAGGAAATCACACCTGTGTTATGGCACTGCGGGCCAGGGGATCTGCAAGAACTGAGGAAATGGGTCCTAGGGAATGGGGGGTGAGGGATAGGATGGTCTGGGGAGGCCACAGGGCTCCCTTGGCCAGGGACCACCCCCTGTCCTGCTGCAGGGACCCCTGAGTGTGGCATCACCCTCCCTGGCCACAGCACAGGTGTCCTGAGCCATGCTAGGAGTTGTCCCCAGCACGCTTGTGCCAGCCCAAGGGCATGCCAGGACGATGCGTGGTGTCATCAACCCTTGCCTGTGGATATCTGAGCAGGCAACAGAAATAATTTAAAGAGATGATGAGGCGTTTTATTATTCCCATGAAATTATAGGAATTATAGTTTTAAATGAAGGTGACAGATATAAAATGTGTATTTTAGGGCAAAATTAATGCTGTGCTTTCTTGAAGGTGTGCCAGTGAGGGGGGTCACCTCCTACTGCACATGGGGTTTGGGACAGCGAGGGTGGAATCCCTGTGCTGTTCCCAGAGTGCAGGGAGCACATTGCTGGTGCCCAGCTCCATGCCTGGCAGCTGTGTGGTGCTGACACATCTGGCACAGCCTGCTCAGAGCCCACTTGGAGCCCATGGCACTGCCAGGAGCAGGGCCAGTGCAGGTGCCTGCATGAACCCGTGCAGTGCCAGTGGCAGTGCCAGGACCTGCCGTGGCCACAGCACAAGTACCTGCTCTGAAACAGAGCTAAAGAGGTTAATTGGGCTGGGAGGCACATGGTGCCTTACACCTCTGATGGAAATGTTGATTCAAGAAGCCACACCAGCTCTGGTGGGTTTGTACGACTGTAATTATTTTTAAACTTCCTTTTTGGTGCTGTTGGCACCAGCTGGCACCATGCCAGCCTGACTTGACTCACTCACAAATTGTCAGCCTTGATCTATAGGGTGTAGAGAAGGTGCTGACTGAGCAGTGAGTTGGAAATCTGTGATTTAAAACAAAAATTAGATTTAAAATGTTGTTCCCAACGATACAGTGCGAGAGCACTGGCGATTTAAACACACACTCAGTATCCCGGCACCATGACAGCATCCCAATCCCTGCACAGCCAAGGGCAACCTGAATTCCTTCTTGTGCAGCCCTAATCTGTGAGCAGGCACTGGGGAGGATCTGGAGCCTCCACAGCCACTCCCACTGCGGCCGCTCCTGAGGGGGTGCTCCCAGCTCTGGCTTCATCATTTCCCTCCAGCTGTGTGGAGCCAGAAAACATGGGCACACATGGAAGTGGCTGCATCCATGGGATTTGTGCTGGTGGGAGCCACAGCATCTTCTTGCTTTCCCCCTGCAGCCTCGTGTAGCTGAGGAGCAAGTGGCAGCTTTTCCCCAGGCATTTTAAACCAATGCTTGGGCCTCATGGGAGTGATGGAGTCCAGTGGGACAGCTCTCCCTAAGAATAACATGATGCTCATATCCATTTGGAAGGAAATGAGAAGCAAATCAATTATTTTCAAATAAATAATGTACTTTTACCATACAGCCTTGCACCAAAGTGATATAACAAACAAGGTAGAACCAGCCCTATGCAGGCTTAGCTGGGTCTTGGAAGGCAAATGTCCCTGTCCTCGTGTGAACACCCCTCTGGTGCTTACAGTGAGGTGTTTAAAATGCTGCAGGGTCCTTTAAAGACCTCGTGAAGATGGTTCTGCTCTGGGTGGGAGTGGAGAGGGTCCCACGGCACTGCCATCCCCCTGTGGCACTGACCAGGCTGTGCTTCACGGGACCAGCTGTGGAGGGGGGTGCCAATTGAGGTGCTGGGGCCATGCCAGAGGGAGGTCCAGGGCAGATCTGGTGCCCTTGGGGTGCTGCAGGCAAGGCCAAGGCAGGGCTGGTACCCGTGGCCCCGGGCAAGGCGGGCGTTGCAGAGGGCCCCTCGCAGGCGTGCAGCGAGCGGGCAGTGGCCGGGCAGATGCAGAAATACTGACTGTGTTTTCTCTTGTTCTCTCTTTTCTGCCTAAGGTTTGAGCATCCGAGGAGCCCAGGAGGAAGACCCTCCCGATCCTCAGCTAATGAGACTAGACAATATGCTTCTGGCAGAAGGAGTCTCAGGTCCGGAGAAAGGTGGGGGATCGGCGGCAGCAGCTGCAGCCGCAGCAGCCTCTGGAGGGTCTTCAGATAACTCTATTGAACACTCAGATTACAGAGCCAAATTGACCCAGATCAGACAAATCTATCACACAGAGCTGGAGAAATATGAACAGGTCAGACATCAGTCTCTCAGTTGTTCGTGTACCTGCCACTGCTCTCCTCTGCTTGCAAGTGCCTGCTGCTGCCTGCTCTGGACCACGTCCCTTCCTCCCCTTCCCCACCCCTGTGCCTGTAAAGAGCCATGATGGGAGTCTGTCGGGCTCCAAGGAGCAACTGGCTGAGGCCAGGATGCGTCTTGCATGCTCGAGTGTTTTCTGTTGTCTGTAACTGCACAAAAGTAACACCCAAGGCCGTGTTTCTCCCCTTCACCCAGAGCAGCAAAGAGGAGAGGTGTCCATCTCTTGGTGCCACCCTCTTCCCTGTAATGAGGTGTTGCACAGCTGGGTCTGGTGAGTTGGGGAGCACAGGCTGCACTGGTCATCTCAGCCCACGGGCTCCCGGAGCAGGCGGTGGGAGGCTCCGGCCCGCGACTGGGACACGGCAGGTCGGCCGGAGCAGATTGAGAGGGAGTGGGCAGAGAGGCACCAGCAGAGCTCCTGGACCAGGCTTTGGGACAGGAACTAGGGTAATCCTGGTTCAGGCAGATGCTGGCACTCGGTGTCTTTGTTTGGAGTGAAGAGCATACTGCAGAGACCCGTGGGTTTGCCTTCACCACTGGAACCTGGTGACCTGCCACATTTGCCACGCTAGTGGCCTGTGCTGCCAGGTGCCAGCAGCACAGTGTGGCTTGGGTGCCAGTGGCACTGCCTCATCTGTGCTGCCTCTTTCACTGTGTTGTTCAAGTGGTGAACAAATAACCGAGCATATACCTGTTGGGGTGTTTGTGCAAATCTCCTTTTCTCCCCTGACCCCCAAAGGCCCCAGCTGTCCTGTGGGGACCCCCGGGCTCTCCATGTCCTGCCGGGTGCAGGCACAGTGCTGGGATGGGGATGGCTGTCGGATTAACGAGCCCCACGCAGCAGCAGCGTGTCTCGTACAGCCACAGAGACACAGGATGGAAGCAGATCTGGGCCAGAGCGGTGGCAGATTGGTGCTTGCAGCTGGTTCCTGGCAAACATCCTTGGACTCTAATAAGTTTAATGATGTGGTGGAAGCAGGAGCATTTTTTGCCCTGTAGCTCCATTTACAAAGATTTCAGCTGAAATGTCACAGCCATCCGTCCACACCACAGGAAACTTTGGAGGATGCTCAAGTGCTGCTGGAGCAGGAGAGAGGGGTGGAGCTGCTCTGAGACATGTACGCTTCCCCACGGATCCTGACACCCAGCCACGTCTGCTCGACAGAAATATGATAATTTCCCCAGCCTGGCAGCAAACTGTCTCCTGCTGGTTTGTCTCACCACAGTGCCCGAGAGGCAGCCAGGGCTTGGCATCTCAGCCTCGGGCACCGCAGGTTCTGGAGGCGGGTGCCCTCCTGCAGCGGGAGCACCGGGGAGCCCACGCCGGGACCTGCCCGCGTGGGGAGCAGCTCCCGCCATCCCTGCCCGGCACTGCCGCCATCCCACGGCAGCAGGAACCAGAGTGCCTTCCTGGGGACGCTTTCCAGGCTGAGTTTGATCCTGATATTTGTTGCCAGTTAGGGGAATGCACTCAGGAAAGGAAAAAAAAAAGGGAAGAGAAATGGAAAGTGTGTCACGCCATCGCCCAGCGCTCCCTCACCGGGTGCCGCGAGAAATGGCCGCGCACAGGCAGCGCCTTCCATAATTTACAGCTCCTATAACAGAGATGACATATTGAAAGCTATCTGCTGTAATTACACTGAAATACATTTTTTGCTGTAGGCAAAAGTACTGTAAGGGTCCCAGGCCTCCCGGAGCAGCTGGGAACCCACTTCCTGAGTTCACAGATGTCTCCTGAACTCACCCCAAATTGGGGTGAAGTGTGGCAGCTCGGAAGCCACCACCAGCCCCACAGAGCACTGGATGCCACCCTGCCCCTAAATACTGTTTTGGGCCATTTCCTTTCTTTTTCCTGTGCTCATCTGTGCCGTTGTGATGAAGCACTGAGGCAGCAGGAGCATCCCTGCTCCTACAAGGTTTCTGAGCAGGTTAACAAGGCCATCACTTATAACCTGACATTATTAATAATGTCTCGGGCACCAAGCAGAGGCCTGAAAAATAGTCCTGGAAAAGGGATCAAGTAGCTTGGACGCTATAAATAAACAAGAGAAACAAGACAAAGCATCAGAGTCTTTTGAGCTTCCCCCCACCGTGGTGCATGAGGCAGCTCTGCAGAGGGGAGGTGCAGGTGGAGATGAATGAAACCCAGGCTCTCCAAGCAGTTATAGCCAAACCAAGTCTCATCAGGCAAGTCAAGTAAAATCAAGGAAAGTTTTTTACTTCTTGAAAGCAAGAAACTCACTTTTGGTTTGAAATGTCCAGTTTTTGATATCTCTTACAGAAAAGACGTAGCTGAAAATATTTCTAATGCAACAGTTGCCATTTTACTTTAAAATTGAATTCCCTAGATCTAAAAAGGGGGCATGTGGCAAGCTGCGTGCCCAGAATGTCCATCCAGTGCCAAAGTCTTGGGTTCAGCTGTATTTTGGGACAGTCAGAACTGCTGTCTGATCTCGGGGAGAGCCGCTGCATTTTGGTGCCTGTGTCCTCTTCCCCCCGTGCATCGTTTCTCACGTGAGCCAAAGCTGATGCTCCTGCTGTGGTCAGAGGGCTGGACCTGAGCTTTTGCATGCTCAGGTTGTACCTTGATTAAGAGAATATACAGATGGGAAGTGAGGATGAGACATGTTGAACTTCATCTGGAGTTCAGGGAGTCTTGAGCAGTCCAGGGGTGGTGGTGGCAGGATGAGCCGTGGCAGCCACGCTGGTGCCGAGAGGCCACGAGCAGCGGTGGCACCGCGACCTCGGTGGTGGCAGGCGAAGGGCTCTGCACCAGGGCTTGCCCAGCCTTGCCAAGTGCTGCCTCCAACAAGTGCTGCAAGGATGTAAATTAGCCTGTAATTTACTTTCAGTAGTGTAAAGAAAAAAAAAATCACTTTGCCTGAAGTGTATGCATCTTTCTTAAGGGTGTACCCAGATTTTAATTATCTAAATGTAAATACTTAACGAATTTTACTTAGAGTAATGAGCTAAAGTGCACACTACATAAATGAGATGTTCTAATTAATCATGTATGAACTACTGGTTTAAAGAAAAGCTATGTGAATTCTGCAAATGTTGGGCTATTGCCAAATTGCTAATCAGCATTTGCATTCATAGATGGCTTCACTTAATAAGTTGTGAGACGTTCAGCAAATGTTATAGGAAATTATGAGTTTTTAGATGCATAAACTTTTCACTTTTAACTCTTTCCCTCACATAATCTATTGAAATGTGGGAGAATCCTTGAAAATGTGGTTTTCAGACACATTATGGAGGTGTTTTGCAGCCTGGCTTTAGAGAAGGCAGGATGGCAGTGTGACGGCCACTTGGTCGTGTGGAGGCTCATACCAAGGGGTTCCTGCTGATAGTGCAGCCTGGCCAAGTTCATATCAATGTGCCATAGTCTGGGAGTGATAATCAAGGGCTCCTTGTGCCTTCTCTCTCTCAGTGCCTTGGCCACCTGGTGTGGGCCAGGCTGGGCACAGTGTCACTGAAACCCACCCGCTGAGGGGACACACGGTGCCTCAGAAAGGTCTTGGGTTCCTCAGTGCTGCGAGGGCATGGGGCTCGGGGCTGCCCTGCCCAGGCTTTGCCTGGGTATGCTCACACCTCCCCTCAGATCCTGCTCCTGCTCGCAGCTGGTACAGGCGCTGATCCAACCACTCCTCTCCACTGGGACGTGGGGATGTGGAAAAGGATGAGCATGGCAGGAAGGAGCAGTGCCACGGTCACTTGGCTCCCCTGGCTGCTCCAGGATGGCCCTGTGTCTCCTGGACAGGGTGTGTGGGATCTGCTCCCATGGCCACACGCGTGCAGAGGGATGGGCCACACAGGCGTCCCTCAGTTCCCAGTGCTGCCTTTCCCCCAACAGCTGGGTCAGAGCTTATGTCCTTGTGGGACAGCACAAACCCATGTCTGAGTCTCTTCTTCCTCCACAGGCATGTAATGAATTTACCACACATGTGATGAACCTCCTCAGAGAACAGAGCCGGACACGTCCCATTTCTCCCAAGGAGATTGAAAGGATGGTGGGCATCATTCATCGAAAATTCAGCTCCATCCAGATGCAGCTCAAACAAAGCACTTGTGAAGCAGTAATGATTTTAAGATCAAGGTTCCTCGATGCCAGGTAAGGCAGAGGCAATTGTCCCCACCTCTTTTGGGGGGGGAAGAGATAATTTCTGGGCAGGGATGGGTGGGAGAGGCTGCTCTGTCCCAGCAAAGCCCAGGGCCCTTGTCCTTCACCTGGAGCTGCTGTGAAAGCAGAGAAGCCTGTACAGAGGTTTCAGAAACAGTGATGTCTTT